ATAAGTAAAGAGTTTTAGTATCCGAACTGTTATGAACAAGGCCATTTTTTTTATAGAATGCATGAACAAGGCCTGCGTTTGTAAATTGCCATCTAAGCAATCCTTACATCCGATTCGGAGTCGCGGAGAACCTAACGGGTAACCGGGGCTCCGGCTCGACGTGCAGGAGAAGGAATGAGGTGGTTTTTAGTCAGTAAAAGTCTGACACTCCTTCCCGCGTCACCCAGGGGGGAGCAGTCATTCGATGATTTTCCCCCTTAAAAAAAGCAATCCTTACATTGTTATTAACAAAGCCTTATACTTGTAAATTGCAATTAAGGCGATCCGTATATCCTGTGGCATTTACACGCACAAGCATATTTGGCGACTAAGGGATAACCCCCACCACTGGCCATGTACCTCTAGGATAAAATATACGTCTTAGTTACTGTATAAGAGGTATCAAATCAAAAAAGAGAGAAGTCTCTCTGACTCTAACACCGTTCTATTTAATTACTGTATTATTACAGTAATTATTGTAAGTCAAACAAAAGTTGTGAAATGTAAATTAAAGAAATTATTAGTAGCGCTATTCCAAAAGGGACTTACGGAGCGCCATCTTAACAGAACGTATGTTTGAGAATCAGTTTGAATGGTTGCAACGACACATCGAGCTATACAGAACCAATTTATTGTGGTCTCCCTTTGTATGACCTTTCAGTACATTCAACGACCATTTTATACTGGTTTGTATAGGTTGATGTGAATCCATGTGTATAAGACCTTGGGTGATGCAACCTCATCACGATGGCTTGGGGAATGTAATTGACAGCTCATTTATTAGACAATGACAAGGATGACTTTGCGTGGTTTGGAAAAGTATTCATTCATTTCCTTACCCATGACCTTTTTACACTACTCACTGGATGAAGTTGAACATTAATTTACTTAAGTTGAACATTTATGCAATTAAATAGGTTAGTTTCCTAAATTTTATTTTAATGTCCGTCTGGTAGATTATTTTAAAACATTAGACACGTATTTTTTCTTTTCTCACAAAATTATATGCTTTTGACGATATATTGATTTGAAATGTCGCGTGACGTCACAGCGTGCTACAAAATGTACCACGTTATGACGTAACTACCTCTCACTCCTAAACTTAACGCCATTTTATACTTTATACGCCATATAAATTTATACGAGGAAATAAAAAAATACGTGTCTAATACTTTTTCATTATCTAACTGACGGACTAATTAGATTTTGATTTTTCTTACCCTGGAAACTACCCTATTATAAGATATGGATGCATGCATAAATGGTTATGCATTTTCTATAGCTTATACCACGAGGAGTGCTCTGAGAAATTGTTTGACCTGATACCTGCCGCATCTATGTATGGTGTATTATGTTCCATAATGTAGACAGAGAAGATTATTGTCTGTAAACACACTAGATTAAGAACATACTATAAAAATTTTGTATGTCTGTACAGACACAATGTGGCGCACTACCATAATATTATCTACCATCTATTGTAACATACCTACATTGACGAAATAAACAATATTTGTATTTGTATTTGTATCTTTTCGCCATCGACCGTCACGACAGCATTTACATCTCAATCACATATATGGTTGGCAGGCCACAACAGTATGCTTCTCACGTAGATTTCTGACTCGCACAGCAAAACTGTTTAATGATCTGTCGTCGGTGGTATTTCCGAACCGATACGACCTTCAAACCTTCAAGATAAGAGCGTATTCCTTTTTAAAAGGCTGGCAACGCATCTGTAACACCTCTGGTGTTGCGGGTGTCCATGGGCGGCGCTGATCGCTTACCATCAGGTGAGCCGTATGCTTTTCTTGCCACCGTCGTGGTATACCTAAAAACACACTCACAGTCACACTATGCCAACCTAATTACTGCTTCCATGAAGAACCCCATATTGTAGCCCACCAGGAAAACTTTGGCTGGAAACCATACGTTTTAATAGCCCTAAAGATAGGTACTAAGTAGCCCTATTACAGGAGTACTAAATGTACCACATATAAAATGAACCTAAATAATACAACTGGGCTTTTAAAAAAATCTCAGTAGTAGCAAGGAGTCTGGAATTGTGCCCGGTATATGGCAATAGGCTCACCCCTATTACATGGGACTCATAACATAAATAGTGAAAAGTGGGTGTTACATTGTACAGTTGCATAATGTGCACCTCTGCCTACCCCTCGAAGGGGTATTCGACACCTGGCACCCGTCGACGCTTGGCCACCATCTCGCCTGGTGATTAAAAAAAACATGTATGATCTAATTTGGGAATGCCCATTATTTTGAATTTTAATAAAAATTTCGATAAAGCTACGTCTACATAGAACTGTAATCCCCGTTATGTTTAAATAAATTAAATTAGATTTTTAAATTAAATTAAAATGCTAAATTAGAATTAAATTTAGCACATTTTTTACGAATACATACAGAGTGTAAACGAGACGCTCCCAAAACGCTTGCAAAATAAATTGACGCGTGACGTCACTTCTATGTACATTTTATACGTAGAAATGACGTTTTAGCCCCCACTCCTAAACTTTGATCCGTTTTATCTAAGTATTGTTTTATCATACGACAAAGTAAAAAAATACACACGTATTTTTTTCATTACCAAACTGACGGACTAATTAGATTTTTAATTTTCATACACTGTCATTATCCCAATTTTAATCTATTTCGTTTTCTTGGTATTCATGCATCATCAGCCTTGAGCAGTTGATTATTACAGAAAAGAAACATACCTTATTTTTACCAAAATAGAACTTGTTTTTGACCACCACCTGCGTTTTTGGGGCAATTTACATCCTGTATTATGTATTACATAAATCAAATGAATACACTCAATATGAATAAGCAATGTATCATAACTAAAACAATTATTACCTGACTTATCTATGTATATGCATTCCCATCAAAACGAATTGACTTGTACAGTGAAAAATCGATGTCATTCATAAGGTAGCCTAGACACCTAGTAACCATATTTGTTTTACACGCTTATCTGATATCATCATCATCAACAGACTATAAATGCCCAATTACCTACTGCTGAGCAAAGCCTCTTCTCACACAGAGAAGGTTTAAGCATTAATCACCACGCTTGCTCAATGCGGGTTGGCGATTACGAACTTATAAGCCCAGGTTTCATCACGATGTTTTCCTTCACCGTTTGTCAGTGGTGTCTTGATAATCTTAGAAAGTACATAAAACTCAAAAAAAGTCACATTGGTACTTGCCGTTTGTAGGATTTGAACCCGCACCCTCATGCAAGAGAGGCGGGCGTCTTAAACCTCCGAGCCACCGCGACTATATGTATAATGATGACTTAATCTTGCAGATGTAATAACAAAAATCATAAATAGAAAAAATTTAATCATAAATAGCGAGATGGCCAAATTGTAAAGAACTAGCTTCTGCCGGGCGGTCTCGCCCGCATTCTTGTGGGACAGCCTATGTGTTGTTCCAGATAATATTCCACCCCTGGTCCAAAATTCATCCTGATTCTTGTTTTAATGTGTTTTTTTTAAGGGGGTTTAGGGATATGAAATTAGTGGGAATAGATAATCTGGATAATTGAAATAAATATATAAGACGTGTTCACTTAAACTGCATATATTTGCGACTGGCTTACGTGGCGGGCGCAGCCGCCTCTAAGCATGCACACATACATAGCGTATTCATTATTCCTGCGCACTTACATATATGTTGTACCTACACCATTCCCCCTTTAAAATAAGATAATCACCGAACACAATTTTCGTGCACTAAATACACTTCACATATACGCACTGGCTGTTGCTATCTGCTGCTGTGGCAGGGCTTGCACGGTGACCACATTCGGGTTGCTAGCCGCTTGCTTATGCACCCACGACTTTGCCGAATGCTTGCAACATCGATACGCTCAATACCCCATGGCAATGGTAAATATTATTAACAGTGCAATGACAAAATCATCGAATGACTTCTCCCGCCTGGGTGAGGCGGAAGGGAGTGTCAGACTCTTACTGACTAAAAACCACCCCGTTCCTTCTCCTGCACGTTGAACCGGAGCCCCGGTTACCCGTTAGGTTCTCCGCCACGTTTTAATGTGAATGGATAACAAATGTATACACAAAATCAAACTCAAATGTATTTATTTCAATTAAGATCTTAAAACCCTGTTGAAATATCATCCCCTAAATATCTTCATATAAAAGTAGTCTCTAAACATCGGAAATAAGGTCTATAATGTGGTTAGTGGAGAGCGGTCACCGGTGACTGCTTTCTTACGTACTAAATTATAGAATTTAGTACGTAAGAAACGTCAACAAATATAAAATAAATAATAGTCTGTCAGTCAATCCGTCAGTGAAGCTAGGTGCTAAAACTTTCGCATTTATAACTAATAGTAGTAGGATAATAACTGGTGAAATGAAATTCAAATCCTTTTAACTTCTACATTGTCTTGCATTTTTTTACATAGCAACCTTTAATTGCCAATCCTCAATTGGGTACTCGGCAACTATGTAGTCAAATTCAATACTTTTTACGAACTGTCAAAAACGACAGATTTCTATGAATTTTGTACATAGATTGTACACAATCTACGAACGACGTGTCGAAGTCGTGACGAAGTCTAAAGAACGTGACGTCACAATACATTGTGACGTCACGTTCTTTAGCGTCAAACAGCGACTTATTTCTTAAAAAAATATGCTGGAAAATACTAAAATTAAGCTATTAATGAAGGTGAGATTATTTTTTAATATTTTATTGTTTTGAACAGTCGAAATAATGTATTTTCGCTTAAAGAAAATACCCAATTATCACATCCAAGTAATACGCAAATTTTGAAATCACTTCCAATATAAACAAACCCTTAGTGCTAATCTATATTACACACAGATAAGAACTAAATCACTATAAGTACAAAAACAGCAGTCACTTGAACAGCAAGTCTATAACAGACAAGTTAATTATCAAAGATGGCCGCTAATTGTTTAATAAGAATATTTTTTAGTTTATTTGTAGTTATTTGTTCGGTGTACTGTGCTAGTATTGATTCTCCCGTGTTCGGGTATCACATGAGGATTGGAGTGCCTCAAGCAGTCAGGATAGCGAGTTTGGAGTCCATGAGAATTGTTGGTGGTAGTGCCGTCAGTGCAGCAACTGCTATTCCTCATCAGGTAAGCCTTTTTGGTCTTCCGAAGTTCTCGTTAAAATTAAATCATTTCTTTTATTAAGATATAAAATGGCAAGTTGCTAATGAAACTCTTTTTGCTAATCGTATTATGTTTTATATGAAAAAAGTATGTTTTTATAATAACTATCGTGAGACATAATAAATTAACTCAAATAACTAAAATCGCGGGTTACTCACGTCGCGCAGCTCACTCTTCGAACCCCTCTGGCTCACTCTTCGAAGGGAGGAAGAACCCCTCTGTGGTTCGAAACTAGTAGAGCTTTTCTCAATATTTTCACGTGAGTACTCCGCGATTTTAGTTAAAAAAGTATTTATTTAATGAGCTTGTTTAGTTTTCTCACTCAGTATCGTGACCTACTTTAAATATGTTATAAAAATTTCGTAATTGAGAAAGCCTGGTTCGATTTACAAGTTGGTCCAGATGCTACGAGGTTTTTCATGTAAATGATGTAAATATTTACATCAACAATGTCAATGTCAATATATCAAACAAATTTTCACAATATTACGGAGTCCGAAATTAAGGTAACATATGCTAACTGCAAACACGAAAGCTTCAAGTGAGCACTTGTCACTTTAACATGGTATGTCTAAATGTTGCTCAAAATTAGTGTTCGTTTCGGGCACGCTTGTGAATCGACAAGCGTTCAATTGTTGAGCATGCTCAATAGTTCACTTATTAGCGTGCTATTTCAAAGCATCAAAAAAAAAGACAACACGGTTAGTGTGGTGGCTGGGCAACCAGCTGCCACGAAACGTGCGGGTTCGATTCCTGCACTCTTTGTGTGATCTACAAATTGTTGTTCCTGGTCTGGGTATCATGTGTATGTGAACTTGTATGTTTGTAAACACACTCACGACACAGGAGATAATCCTAGTGTCGGGCAATGTTTTTTTAAAGGAAAGAAAGTAAAAAGGAAATTTCTGTAACAGTATTATAATGCCTGGGGAATTAGATAGGCCCAGGTGGAAATAAGAGCGGACTGTATTTCAAGGGTATATATTAGGTCTTGTACAGTGGTCTAAAATTAAAAAACAAAAACCCTTTTGTATAATGCTCCGGGCAATTCAACCGCTAATCTATTATATAGGGAAGCATTAACGTAATCAACTAGATACCAATATTACCAAATAAAAATGTACTATAGTCAGGATCTTTATTGGCAAAAAAATACTATACCATCTTCTTGAGTGGAATTCATATGTATATAGCCTACTGTTATCTAAACGATGTTGTTTTGTTTTCGACAACCGCGCGAACGCAGTCGCGGGCACAGCTAGTTATTACTAAAAATCATGCGATCGTGATCGCGTTCATTACCACTCCGCCCGTTCATCTCTTGATGATGCGTGTATGCATCGGAGTTAACAGGAATGACTCACCCCCAGTATGTAGTACGAGTCATCATCATGTAATAACATGTAGTAACATGATGATGAGTCGTAACATAACCTATTAAATATAATTGACAAACATTTTTATTCTCATGTCATTCATCCAGGTGGGCATCGTAGCAAGACTAACAACGGGTCACCAGTCAGTATGTGGCGGCAGTCTCCTTTCCACCACCAGAGTCCTAACAGCAGCTCATTGCTGGTTCGACGGAGAAGTGCAAGCCAGACAGTTCACCATCGTTCTTGGCTCTCTTACTATCTTCACAGGAGGGACAAGGATAGACACAACTGATGTCACCATGCATCCTTCTTGGAACTACTTACTCAATGACATTGCTATGGTCAAGATTTCTGCTGTAAAGTTGAGTAGTAAGTATTTTTATTTATTTTTTAATATGGGACAATCCCGCCACAACCTCCCAAAACCGCTACAACTCCTGTAAGCCAGGATCTACAGTAGATACAACCATGAAAACACCTGAACACTGAAGTCCGGCGCGTCCCAGGGACATGAATAACTGTCTTGGTTCCCGCAACAAAGTGAATCAGAAGATATTATAAAAGGAGAAGAATAAAACGATAGCTTTTCCACTTTCACAAAATTTCCGTGCGTTTAGGCGCTTTTGCCATATCTATTATTGGAAGCAAGTATAACAGCTCACACATAGGCCCCACTTTATATACTACTAGCTTTTACCCGCGACTTCGTTCGCGTCACATAAGGATAAAAAGTAGCCTATGTGACATATACCAATACATACAGCGCCACCTATACCAATACTTTTGTTTTCTCTCGGGAATATCAAATTTTTTCGGGATAGAAAGTACCCTATTATTTAATCCAGACTACTAACTTTACGTCGGCAAAAATTCAATGCAATCGGTTTAGTAGTTACGGCGTGAAGTCGGAACAAACAAACAAACTCACTTTCCGATTTATAATATTAGTAAGGATTAAAATTTATCATGTAATCCAATGAATGGGTAATGTTCTGGATGGTAGAACAGAAATTCAATGAATCAATTATATTAAATTATAATGATTAAAAATACTATCTCTGATAATAAATGACGATCGTCTCATGTAAACATAGAAGTAAATAGAAAGTACTACTCTATCTGTCATACTGATAATGCGTTCTTCCAATAAAAGATTACAGTTCTAAGTACTTAGGTACGTAACTGAGACGTATACAATCTAGAAATAAAGACTAATGTCTGTAGCAAGTAATATGTAAGTGCAGATAAACTAAAAGACTGCTTGGTTGGTCGAGTAGTTGCAAGTGCGACTGTCGGCTCACCATACACATAGGACTCATAACATAAATAGTGAAAGGTGGGTGTTACATTGTACAGTGGCATTAAGTGCCGTTATGTGCACCTCTGCTTATCGCTTCGGTGATAAAAAAGCGTGATGTTATGTTATGTGAAGCTAAAAAAAATGTTATATTTTATCCGATATGAGTGAAGAATCGAACCTATAACATTATGCATAACTTATGGCTGAAATATATTAGCGTGGCGCACGGTGACGTAGCGCCAGAAGCATATCTGTTTCATACATTTACTATGGTTGGAGACACACTTGCATATTATGTTATGCGACGCCAAATGCTTGCAGCCGATTGGTGGCCACGGCGCCACGACACGCCTCGCCATGGTAATGTAATTCTGCGTCGACGACTTAGCCAAGGAAATCCACACAAATGAAAATTTAAATAACGTTGTGCTCAAACCTGTACATATGAATTATTATCCTTCTGTTTTTATAATAACTATCGTGAGACATACTAAATTAACTAAAAATCGCGGGTTACTCACGTAAATATATTGAGAAAAGCTCTACTAGTTTCGAACCACAGAGGGGTTCTTCCTCATGAGCAGCGTGTGCGGTGTGAGTACTCAGTAGGCTGCCCGACACCGCCGCGACCCGCGACTTTCAATTCAAAGCAATCGGTTTAGTAGTTACGCGACGTCGTAACTACTAAACCGATTGCTTTGAATTTTTGCAGACGTAAAGTTAGAAGTCCGGATTAAATAATAGGGTACTTTTTATCCCTGAAAAATTTGATATTCCCGAGGGAAAACAAAAGTAATGGTATAGATGGCGCTGTGTGTATTGGTATATGTCACATTGGCTTTTTATCCTTTTGTGACGCGAGCGAAGCCGCGGGTAAAAGCTAGTATTTTATAACTAAGCAAAGTAAGTAAATATTTACCGAAAAGTAAGGAAACAATAAAGGTTTTCGGTACGCACAGGTCTGAATTGTAATTTCTTTCACGTACAACACAGAAACTAGGGTACACAGGTTTTACGACAATTTTATTGCTCAAGTATTAAAATATTATTGTTTTTATTACTCGAATAAGTTACGAGGCCCCGTGATTGGCTTGCGAAATGTACGAAAAGAAGAATTCATTAATTTTCAATTATAAATTAGGTACGTTTCGCTCCCGGCTCCGTTCGTGTGGATTTCGATGCAGTTATCATAAGATTGGGTTATTCTCTACTAAAAACTGCACTGCGGCTCAGTCTCTTTGTTAGGTCTTAGCACACCCATAGGAAGAGCAATGGTTGTGACTAACGCATTCTACTACTATTACACTTCTTAACACACATACAACATCACGCCTTTTATCCCCGAAGGGTTAGGCAGAGGTGCACGTTATGCCACTGTACAATGTAACACCCACTTTTCACTATTTTATGTTATGAGTCCCATGTAATAGGGGGTGAGCCTATTGCCATATACCGGGCACAATTCCAGGCTCCGTGGTACTACTGAGATTTTTTTTAAACCCAGAAATACTTTGCCCGATACCCCTTGCCCGGCAGTCGCACTTGCGACCACTCGGCCAACGAGGCAGTCACACTTCTTGTTATAATATATTAAATAAATTCTATTTTTCAGCTACAATACAAGTGATTCCACTGCCCACGGCAGCAGATGTGAACCAGAACTTCGCTGGAACAACTGGAGAAATTTCTGGATTTGGAAAGACTAGTGATGGTATGTATTCTTCATTTTTCCATGTATACTTCTTGAATTAATACTTTGGGGAGGTTAGGTTTATTTGGATGTCTATATCCACAGAACATATACTTGACGGCTTAGCCACAGCGCCGTCTATTATTTGTTTTGGAACTAGGATGACATCTAGCCACCTCGGAACAATAAGCAGTTATTGTTCCGAGCTAGCCACAGAACTCATTCTGACGGAGCGTCAGGTCGACAACAGCGCCGCCATTTTTTTTGAACCAGACTACGGATATGAATGGCGTGCGCGAGACATCTCTGACGAACCGTCAAAGTTCCGCGCAATCTTATAATTTTTTATTAAGTTAGAGTTAGGGATTAGTGATGATTATGACTCGGTGTTTTATCTTATTATATTCCCAAATACCCACGCATTGGCCGATCCTGATGCAGTCGGGGAAATGCATAATCATAACATCACACCTTTTATCCCCGAAGGGGCAGGCAGAGGTGCACATTATACCACTGTACAATGTAACACCCACTTTTCACTATTTATGTTATTAGTCCCATGTAATAGGGGGTGAGCCCATTGCCATATACCGGGCACAATTCCAGACTCCGTGCTACTACTGAGAATTAAAAAAAAACCCAGTAATACTTTGCCCGACTCGGGAATCGAACCCGAGACCCCTTGCCCGGCAGTCGCACTTGCAACCACTCGGCCAACGAGGCAGTCATGTCATGGCGGGGAAATGCCAATATACTTTATACTGCCAATATACTGAGAAAACCACGGCAGGTATTTCATTCCACAATTACAGGCTCCGTGGGAGGAAATTCCTCTGAAACCGAACTGTACGGGACAAAAAAATACGTTCATTCCTTCAGCGGAATAGATAGGTACTCAAATTTTCCCAGTTTTCAGTGAAACTATCTGACATATAGATTTGTTAATATCAATAATAATTATAATCCTTATCGCAAAATTAATATGTTTTACGAAAGATAAAGTTGTTTTGTTTCCGAAAGAGATTAGATTTCATATTGATATAAGCCATACAATTAATATTCATCATCTTCATTATGTAGGTACTTGTGCAATATTGTTGATACGTTTATTATCTTGCATTTTGTTGTGCAAGTGTTTTATGATGCATTTTTTTAATTATTATGAAAGTAAATTAACCGGACTGCCTCGTTGTCCGAGTGGTCGCAAGTACGTGCAAGGGGTCTCGGGTTCGATTTCCGGGTCGGGCAAAGTACCTATTACTGGGTTTTTAAAAATCTCAGTAGTAGCACGAAGTCTGGAAATGTGCCCAGTATAGGGCAATAGGCTCACCCCCAATTACATGGGGCTCATAACATAAATAGTGAAAAGTGGGTGGTACATTGTACAGTGGCATTAAGTGCCGAAATGTGCACCTCTGTCAATCCTTTCGGGGATAAAAAGGCGTGATGTTATGTTAAATTAACCCTTTGAACGTAGATCTATGCGAGACACAGTATGTTTTCTATTGTCTCTCATGAGTCAGTATATGAGACACATTCAAGCGGCTAAAGACATCATCAGTCTACGACCGTCCACTGATTTACTGCCTCGTTGGCCGAGTTGTCGCAAGTGACAGGCATGGGACCTCGGGTTCGATTCCCTTCCTTCCGCCGAGGTTGTTTTTCTCAGTAGTAGCACGGAGTCCAAAATTATGCCCGTTCCATATGTATAGCCTACTGCCATGTACCGTCCACAACAGGGGTGACCCTGTTGTAAAATTGTTGTGTTATGAATATGTTATTTCTTGGTAATTATGATTTATTCCAATATTGCATGTTATAATGAAATTATGTAATTGTTATTCTCATAATTACTATCTATACTATCCTGGAAATCAAATATAATTACGTCAGTTTTAAGAATCGTAAGCAGTCGAATCAAACGCAAAATGCAACGGAATTGGCATAATTACTATTTAATCACTTTGCATTTCTATTAAATTACACTAAAATATACACAAACACACTTGAACATAACATCACGCCTTTTATCCCCGAAGGGGTAGGCAGAAGTGGACACAGAAGTAACACCCACTTTTCACTATTTATGTTATGAGTCCCATGTGGTGAGCATATTGCCATATACCGGGCACATTTCCGGTCTCCGTGCTACTATTGAGATTTTTTTTTAAAAACCCAGTAATACTTTGCCCTTCCCCGGAATCGAACCCGAGACCCCTTGCCCGGTAGTCGCACGGCCACTCGGCCAACGAGGCAGTCACACTTGAATCGTCCCATAATTCACACTACAACGCGAAAATTAATACAGAAATCACATCAAAACTCCCAAACACAAATTACAATGAATCTATAGTCAACCACATAACCCAAACCAATTGAGTAACACCGCCTAATTTTGATGCGAATTCGAGAACACAGTGCCTTCCTATGGGGTTTCTGTGGAACTGGGTGGAACAAATGGTGCCTTGTTAAGGGACGGGAGGGCTCCAAACAAGGCCTTTTGTGAAACATGTACACAGACAAGCTTAAACAAAAAGGAAAATTAACGCCCTCAGGCAAAACTCACGATATTCAATTAATTTTCGTATATTTTTATTCTTAGGTAACATAAGTGTATTGTTTTGTTATGTTTATCTGTGTACGTGTATGAAAATATTGAAGATTTTCTATAAGTGATTATAGATCTTTATTTCAAACTAGTTTCTGCCCGCGACTTCGTACGCGCAATCCCGTTTTCTCCAGTTCCCGTAGGATTTTTTTCTGGATTTTTTATGTCTTAAAAACCTTCTCTAATAATAACAAATACAACAAAAAAATAATCAACCAAATCGGTCAAGCCGTTTTCATGCTATGTCGTGACAACGGAAAACAGGTTTCATTTTTATATATATAGACTACAAAAGTTAAAACGTCATTATTTGTCAATCCGTATGCTTCTATACGCTTTATGCAAAAACTACTACATGAAATTAGAATTTATGTAATGAAATTTCGATGCCTGTCTAGATGCCTTCCTTCAAATTTGGACTTGTATTTACCGCAGGAAGAATATATATTAAAAAAATAATAAAAATATAGAAAGATACGTTCTTAATTACCTCACTGAATTGCTCGCCCACCAAATCTGCAAAAGTTAGCTACGTATAAAAATGTTAAGACGGTAATTTCGCCTACAGGTAGGCTTCATATGAAATTCTGTAATTATTTAATACATTACAGAATTAACCTTTTAATTTATTTTTCTCAACAAAGGTTGCTTCCTTATAACAAGATTCATGTACGTGTTTTGCTTTTACATTTTGATTTTTATATTAATATACATGAAGTTCTAATTGGCAAGTTGGCGTAAAAGTCTTTCCTTTTCGTGTTAGGCGACATACCTACTTTTGTATTTTGGTAAAATTGGGCCTGATGACGAAAAGTCAATGTTACAAATTTACACATTCATGTGCCCCATTTTGACAAATACCTAATATAATTAAACACTACACCCAGACCTACCTTATACCAGATTTTGTACCTTATCACATTATTAACAGACTACCATCACAGATCTCATTTAAACTGTCAAACACCAAGCGGTCACCGGTGACCGCAACCTATTGTTCTTTAATTGTGTCTATAAATACGGTACTCGACGAGTTAAATCATCTACCGAATATACAAGGTGTTGTTTTAAAGCCGCGTCATTTTCTAGGTGGTAACTCGGCTATCGATTCTGAGTCCGAATCAATAAAAAAAATTGTAGGTAAATATTTTTAATTTTTCTATAAATTACGGAAATCCATAAGTGCGAACTACACGCCGCCATCTTGTAACTAGCTTTATAACGCGGCTTAACACACACACTCAAACTCGTAATTGATATTATTCCTAATTCCGTAAAACTCCAATAAGAATAATTGCTGGCGCTTATTCTGAAAAACTGTCGAACTTAACGATTTATTATAGCCGTATTTTTAACTATTGGCCCGAAACTTTCTCTTACATTGAACCTTTATAACTTCTGTGACATGCCCCCGAGAAATGTCACGGTTTCAAAACTACACCTTGTGTATACTCTTGTTTGCCCAATCGCATAATAACTTTTTTATTCTTATACACAGCTCAAACATCCTTCCCCACATCCACGGCTCTGCATCAGACATCAGTGCCCATAATCACGAACGCAGTCTGCCAGAGAAGCTACCAGATCACCATAGACGGCAGCCATCTTTGCACAGCTGGTACCGGGGGTAAAGGCACCTGTGACGGTGACTCCGGCGGTCCACTGACTGTGTTGCATAACAATAAGAGGATCTTGGTAAGTTATGCTGTATTCTTTTTAAGTAGGTGGTAAATACTGTTGTTTAAATCAAAATAAAATTAATACCTACGAAAACAATTAAAAAAATATTAAAATATCTCAGTAGTAGCACGGAGTCTAGAATTGTGCCCAGTATATGGCAATAGGCTCACCCCCTATTACATGGGACTCTTAATATAAATAGTGAAATGTGGGTGTTACATTGTACAGTGGCGTTAAGTGCCGTAATGTGCACCTCTGCCTCCCCTTTGGACATAAAAAAGGCGTGATGTTATGTTATGTGTAAAATTAATATTTAGAAGTCCTGAATGGAATACCAAACAAAGTAAATAAGTACTTATTGTTTTATTAAAATTCAAGTCAATTTTGACATACCTATTCTTCTATACAACTTAAGAAGTAAGTATATTTTGCTGATTTATCCGATCGTCATGTTAACATTTGCTTGACTTCTTGTTTTTTTCCCAGGTTGGTGTAGTTTCCTTCGGCCCCAGCGAGGGTTGCCAAGCCAGTTCTCCATCAGTATTCTCCAGAGTAACCTCATTCCTTACCTGGATTAACAATAACCTTAAGTAGATTTAGATTCTATACTCTCTCTCTCTCTCACTCTCACTCTGACTATGTACTCTGACTCTGATTGTAATTATAATTATGTAATAAAAAAAAATTAAGAATATTTCTTACCATTTGTGTATTTTTATTTAAGTCTTTGACTGTCGGTAGGTAAGTGTTTAAGACTTCCACTAACGATACTCATATGGCGTGAATAAAACGCTTAAAGGGAATTTGTGTTTATAAAATAAAAGCCTCGTTGGCCGAGTGGTCACAAGTGCGACTGCCGGGCAAGGGGTCTCGGGGCCGATTCCCGAACCGGGCGAAGTATTACTGGGTTTTTTGAAAAATCTCCCATTAGTGGCACTGAGTCTGGAAATATGCCATGTAAATGGCAATAGGCTCACCCCCTATGGCCCTATTACATGGGCCTCATAACATAAATAGTGATAAGTGGGTGTTACATTGTACAGTGGCATTAAATGGCGTAATGTGCACACCCCTTCGAGGAATAAAAACGTATTTTTGCGGCCAATTTAAGCAGAGATTCTCCATTCGAAAGTCTCGACATTAATTTAGAGAAAAACGTCTGTGGCACAAATTATACACCTCAAAATACTCACTGCTTTCGTTCTCTGCAAAAAGGCAATCTATCAAGCATCATTCTCCATAAACAGATAAATGCAACTCCATCGCTTGTCCAATCGGCTAATCGATCATTAAGTCCAACACAACGAGCAATGAACACAATCGTTGTGTAACGACCGATTGTTAAACAAATCAATGGTTACATTGCTAAAGTGGTGTAGGATTGTTTAATGTTCGATAGTAGATACTATGTTCCCTGGATTTTGTGCCAAAATGTACATGTAATTTCTGTGCTACCAGAATGCCTAATACAATTAATCATTTTTATGAACTGGAGATGGCGGGACGAATTGGACATCTACGACAAGAATTGGCCGCAATAAGCTTTACATAGAGAGGAGTGGAAGGAGGGTAGGGAGGCCTTTGCCCTGCAGTGGGATGATCATGACTGAAGATAAGATGAACTGCCTCATTGGCCAAGTGGTCGCAAGTGTGACTGCCGGGCAAGGGGTCTCGGGTTCGATTTCCGGGTCGGATAAAGTACGACTGGGTTTTAAAAAAAATCACAGTGGTAGCACGGAGTCTGGAAATATGCTGATGGCAATAGGCTCACCCCCTAATACATGGGACTCAAGACATAAATAGTGAAAAGTAGATTGTATTGTATGGCATTAAGTACCGTAATGGCCACCTCTGCCTACCCCTTCGGTGCCACAGTGGCTGGGCATCTATCTGCTGCGACAAGTGTCGCAGGTTCGATTCCCGCACGGAACAACTGTGTGTGATCCACAGATTGTTGTTCCGGGTCTGGGTGTCATGTGTATGTGAACTTGTATGTTTGTAAACGCACCCACGACACAGTAAATCCTAGGGTGGGGCAACTATTAAAACAAAAACCAAAAAAATAATGTTGAATTGATTAACGATCTCAATACAAATTCTTTATTAGATCGATGTAGATTTGGAATTTTAGTTTTAAAGGTAGCTACCGTTTCACCTAAGCACCCTATTCCTACTCCTGCACTTTTGCGTTGCAACACACCATTAACTTCTTTTTATATGTCTTTGCATTGTTATCTGCATGTGTGTATGTGTGGCGTAATAAACGATTTTTCTTTTTTTCACTTCGACCCAGAGCCTCGGTAACCTGTTAAGTCCTCCCTCGGAAAATATAAAGACCATTCTCATCCTCTCATTACTCACTTTTCCGCCTGGCCAATGACAAGGACCAATTCAAAAAGTTGTCGGCCAATCTTTAGGAATGAAGTGGCACTATAAGAAGAAGAAGGTTCTCTCATGGTCTATAAGGAATAAGATATTATGTACTTTTTTTCATTAAAATCTTCATCTCTTCTCGTCTATCATTTAAGCAGAAAGTGCGTGAACTTCTCTTGGAGAGGGTGGATGAATCATCACGCTAATTACTCACAGTCTATATTTATGTATGAATGTATGTATGTATATACATAATAATGAATGAATGCATGTATGTGTATTGTGTTGTACTCGTGTGTAGGTATATATATTATAATTATGTTTATTTATGTTTACCTCTGAAATATGTAAGTGTATCTATTTTATTTGCTCTATTAAATCGTTGCTTGCTTCTTGCTCCTACCATTAACTCTTATCTGCATCACCCAAAGGTCAGACTGAGAGAAAATGCCTGCGGCATAAAGTCCACCTTACGTACATTTTGTGCATGAAGCTTAGATAAATAAAAAAATCATTTCTCAGTACTACCACTAACCTTCCCCAAAGCCCAAATGTTAACGAGAACCAAACTTCAAATCATTGAATTTTGGGTCCACTATAAATCTGGTCTGCGGTTTCCAACCCTACAATGACTGTGTACTGTCGCTAATTTTCAACATCACTGGGTAGTAATTAGTTAATAAATCATTTGGGTTGCACGCTAGTCGCCATGCGTCCGTAATTTAGCGCGGATATATCCGAAAATTTAGATCTTTGTCTGAAATATGGGGGAAGTTTTTAGCCGTCCGATTTTTTTATGGTCTGGACTGAAGACAATAAACAAATATTAAACGAATGTAAATCCTAAAGTTAAGGCTAAAAGGTGTATTTCCCTTTTCAAACCTTCTCCGCGTGTGCGTTCAAAATTTTGAACTTTGTGAAATTTTCGAACATTAATGGAAAATTGATAAAAATTCTTAGACTGCCTCGTTGTCCGAGTGGTCGCAATTGCGACTCGGCAAGGGATCTCGGGTTCGATTCCAGGGTCGGGCAAAGTATTAGCTTTTTCAAAAAATCTCAGTAGTAGCACGTAGTCTTGAAATGTGCCCGGTTTATGGCAATAGACTCACCCCCTATAACATAGGACTCATAACATAAACAGTGAAAAGTTGGTGTTATATTGTACAGTGGCATTAAGTGCCGTAATGTACACCTCTGCCTTTCCAGTGCCAGTGATAAAAATTCCGAATTATCACCAAAAGTCCGGAGTTTTCTCCGAAATTTTGATATTCTAACCTGGGAACCCTGGTCGCACTCGCACGGCTGCTAATGGTAAGGTGATATATTTGTTTAGCAACAACGACATGCGCTAATGACTGAGTCTGCTTTTAGACCTGTTTGTGTAAACTAGACTTGAGTGATCGATGGGTTTATTAGTATTTTAGGAATAGTTTAAGTGTGGGAGAGCCATGCTTTGGCACGAATGGGTCGGCTCAACCAGAGCACTCTGGTGACGACCACGACCTCAAAGAAGATAGACGTGAAACAACGCTTGCGTTGGGTTTCGTTGTGTGATTGAGGTTACTGTACCCCAAAGATCCTCAAATTCCTAATCCCAAAAGGCCGGTAACGTACTTGTAACTGGTATTTCAATAGTCCACGGGAGACGCCAATTGCTTACCATAAGGATCACCTTATGGTAAGCAAAGAATAAGCCGGTAAACGAGCGGACGTATCAACGTCCGCTCGTTTACCGGCTTATTCCATAAAACAAAAATGTTATTACGAATGTTATTAATCTTATTAATATTATACGATATAATGTTGTATAAGGCATCAAGGTGGTTACTTTCTCGACGTCTCCGCTACGAGTGGAATTGGCCCTCTCGCAATCCCAATTCCTTTTATAATATTATAGTCTGATAAAAAAGGTCGCAAGCTTTCTTTCTTCTTTCTTTCTGCTTACTCCTTTTTTTAAACGTTGCCCCACACTAGGCTTTTCTCCTGTGCCGTGGGTGCGTTTACAAACATACAATATCACATACACATGACACCCAGTATTTCAATATGTTCAGGTTCTGCCAGCATAAACTTTAGCACTGCTAGCATAGACAGATCTCAACAAGTTGTGAAAATTAGGACCTGCCGCTTAGAGGACCACGCTGGATCAATGGTTAAGGTTGTGCTGGCGTGCTGAGTATCCAAATCACCTCCGCAGAGGTGATTAGTCCTTCAACCTATCTACAACACTAAATTTAGATAGACTATTCAGAGCTCAAACTCAAAAGCATTTATTTCAATTAAACCATAATTTGGTACTTTTGAAACGTCAACAAATATGAAATAAATAATAGTCTGTCAGTCAGTCCGTCAGTGAAGCTAGGCGCTCGTTCCAAAATGTCGATTCGAGTGGAGAAGAACGAGCAAGAAACTCTATTTAACTCCAAGAACAGCATACATATATACTAATATACTATGTGTATATGAAACATAGAGGTAATTATGTCAAATACCTCAAGTTATGACGGGTCAAAGTTTGCGTAAGTATTTAACCAGAACTATGTCAGTTAGTCGCAAGTGTAAGTAACACAACTTGAACCGTCGAACCAAGTTTGATGTCTTAACTAATCCTCTAAACGCTATAGTTTCGACAATCTGACTGTGCGCTAATATGCTGCATTGGGTGAAGAGAAAATGAGATATTGAAACTTTTTTGTGAACTTTAAAAGGGGACAGTATACTTCAAAATTTCAATTTCTGATAATTGGGATGATGGCAGGGTAAAAAATCTAATTAGTCCGTAAGTTAGGCAATGAAAAAATATTAGACACGTATTTTTTTATTTTGTCGTATAATAAAACAATACTTAGATGAAACGAATCAAAGTTAAGGAGTGGGGGCTAAAACGTCATTTCTACGTATAAAACGTTCATAGAAGTGACGTCACATTTTAAATCAATATATCGTCGAAAGTATTAGTTTCCGTAAGAAAATAAAAAATACGTGTCTAATGATTTAAAATAATCTACCAGACGGACATTAAAATAAAAATTAGGCGTCTACCCTATTTTTTTATAAACTACGTTTAAAAAATCTGACTTCAACCCTGTCTGTTTTTTGAAATCGGTTTAACCACATACATTTCAAAATGAGAACATCATTATTTTTTTGAAGTCGGTTATTGGGCGGTTTGTAGTTGGTATTTTTTACTTTGTTATGTCGTCTCTTTTGTAAAGGGACAT